AGCTTTTCCAGGCTGTGCCCGCCTTGGCCAGAGGGACTAAGATGGTGTCCGCGCGGCGCCCCGGGGCGGCTTCCGGAGGGCCCGAAGCCACAGGTAGGACGCTGGGGAGCCCAGGACGGAAGTTCCGAGCCCCGAGGGCCGCAGCACAGCCGAGCGTGCCACGGGACCCAACAAGCGTCTGAGGGGTGAAGGCCGGAAGCGCGGGGAGGCGGGGCTGGCTCACGGTCACCGCTCGCGGCATCGAGGTGGCGTCGCACAGCAAGCGCGTGCTCTAGACTTTCACCTTGTCAGCCGCCTCGGTATGGGGGCCTACCCCTTTAAGCGAGTGATGGACAGTTATTTCGACCTATCGACTTCCTCATCAACCTCCAATCAGATTTAAACTTCTTTCGGCCGCCGGAGGAGTTGGAAGAAGGGGGGTCAAAAGAGGGAGCTCTCCTTCTCTCGCGAGATGGCTGTGAGCCGGCCTCTCCGGAAAAAAAGACGCCTGAACGGATAGCCAGACTTCCCAAATAGTGTGTTAAAGGACGGGGTCCCAAGCCAATGAAAGGGATGAGGAGGTGGGCTCGCTGCTTTCACAGCGCAAGAAGTACCGTTACAGGGCCTTCTTCTTGTCCAATCAGCGCCTCCAGACTTTGGGTCAGGTGACCACAGAGTGCCAGGGGCGGAGCTACAGCCTGGCGCGAGAAACCGTTAAGATAGACAACGAATATAACCAATGAGATACTCGGACTGAGACATTGGGAGCCCAATACCAGTGGTTGGGCGGACGCCTTCCTGGAGCGCGGGGAGATGCAAAGACAGACAAATACTTTTCCCAATGAGAGCGTAGAACAGAGAGCGAATTGACCAATGAGGGCTGCGGGGCGGGATCCTTTGCCGCGGCGGAGTCCAAGATGGCGGCGTGCGGTTCCGCTGTGTGAAACGAGCGCGGGGCGGCGGGTTAATCAGCTCCGCGGAGACGACCTCCGTCGACCCGCGACAATGAAGGGAAAAGAGCGCTCGCCTGTCAAGGCCAAACGTTCCCGTGGTGGTGAGGACTCGACTTCTCGCGGGGAACGGAGCAAGAAGTTAGGGGGCTCTGGCAGCAATGGGAGCAGCAGCGGAAAGACCGATAGCGGCGGCGGGTCGCGGCGGAGCCTTCACCTGGACAAGTCCAGCAGCCGAGGTGGCAGCCGGGAGTATGACACTGGCGGGGGCAGTTCCAGTAGCCGCTTGCATAGTTACAGCTCCCCGAGCACCAAAAATTCCTCGGGCGGGGGCGAGTCGCGCAGCAGCTCCCGGGGTGGAGGCGGGGAGTCACGTTCCTCTGGGGCCGCCTCCTCAGCTCCTGGCGGCGGGGACGGCGCGGAGTACAAGACCCTGAAGATAAGCGAGCTGGGGTCCCAGCTGAGTGACGAAGCGGTGGAGGACGGACTGTTTCACGAGTTCAAACGCTTCGGTGATGTAAGTGTCAAAATCAGTCATCTCTCGGGTTCAGGCAGCGGGGATGAGCGGGTAGCCTTTGTGAACTTCCGGCGGCCAGAGGACGCGCGGGCGGCCAAGCACGCCAGAGGCCGCCTGGTGCTCTATGACCGGCCCCTGAAGATAGAAGCTGTGTATGTGAGCCGGCGCCGCAGCCGCTCCCCCTTAGACAAAGATTCTTATCCTCCGTCCGCCAGCGTGGTCGGGGCCTCTGTAGGTGGTCACAGGCACCCCCCTGGAGGCGGTGGAGGCCAGAGATCACTTTCCCCTGGTGGCGCTCCTTTGGGATACAGAGACTACCGGCTGCAGCAGCTGGCTCTTGGCCGCCTGCCCCCTCCACCTCCGCCACCATTGCCCCGAGAACTGGAGAGAGAACGAGACTACCCGTTCTATGAGAGAGTGCGTCCACCATACAGTCTTGAGCCCAGGGTGGGAGCTGGAGCGGGTGCTGCTCCTTTCAGAGAAGTGGATGAGATTTCACCCGAAGATGATCAGCGAGCTAACCGGACGCTTTTCTTGGGCAACTTGGACATCACTGTAACAGAGAGTGACCTAAGAAGGGCTTTTGATCGCTTTGGAGTCATCACAGAAGTAGACATCAAGAGGCCTTCTCGTGGCCAGACCAGTACTTATGGCTTCCTCAAATTTGAGAACCTAGATATGTCTCACCGGGCCAAACTAGCGATGTCTGGCAAAATTATAATTCGGAATCCTATAAAAATTGGTTATGGTAAAGCTACACCCACCACCCGCCTCTGGGTAGGTGGCCTGGGACATTGGGTGCCTCTTGCTGCCTTGGCCCGAGAGTTTGACCGATTTGGCACCATACGCACCATAGACTACCGAAAAGGTGATAGTTGGGCATATATCCAGTATGAAAGTTTGGATGCAGCTCATGCTGCCTGGACCCATATGCGGGGCTTCCCACTTGGTGGCCCAGATCGACGCCTTAGAGTTGACTTTGCAGACACTGAGCATCGTTACCAGCAGCAATATCTGCAGCCTCTGCCTTTGACTCATTATGAGCTGGTGACAGATGCGTTTGGACATCGAGCACCTGACTCTTTGAGGGGTGCTCGGGATAGGACACCACCCTTGTTATACAGAGATCGTGACAGGGACCTTTATCCTGACTCTGATTGGGTGCCACCCCCACCTCCAGTCCGAGAACGCAGCACTCGGACTGCAGCTACTGCTGTGCCTGCTTACGAGCCACTGGATAGCCTGGATCGCAGGCGGGATGGCTGGTCCTTGGACCGGGACAGAGGTGACCGAGATCTGCCCAGCAGCAGAGACCAGCCTAGGAAGCGAAGGCTGCCTGAGGATAGTGGAGGCCGGCATCTGGATAGGTCTCCAGAGAGTGACCGTCCTCGAAAACGTCACTGTGCTCCTTCTCCTGATCGCAGTCCAGAATTGAGCAGTAGCCGGGATCGTTACAATAGTGACAATGATCGATCTTCCCGTCTTCTCTTGGAAAGGCCCTCTCCAATCAGAGACAGGCGAGGTAGTTTGGAGAAGAGCCAGGGTGACAAGCGAGACCGTAAAAACTCTGCATCAGCCGAACGGGATAGGAAGCACCGGACAGCTGCTCCCACAGAGGGAAAAAGCCCTCTGAAAAAAGAAGACCGCCCTGATGGGAGTACACCTAGCACCAGCACTGCTTCCTCAAAGCTGAAATCCCCATCCCAGAAACAGGATGGTGGGACAGCCCCTGCAGCAGCAGCCTCTCCCAAACTCTGTTTGGCCTGGCAGGGCATGCTTCTCCTGAAGAACAGCAACTTTCCTTCAAACATGCATCTGTTGCAGGGCGACCTCCAAGTGGCTAGTAGTCTTCTTGTGGAGGGTTCAACTGGAGGCAAAGTGGCCCAGCTCAAGATCACTCAGCGTCTCCGTTTGGATCAGCCCAAGTTGGATGAAGTAACTCGACGCATCAAAGTGGCAGGGCCCAATGGTTATGCCATTCTACTGGCTGTGCCTGGAAGTTCTGACAGCCGGTCCTCCTCTTCCTCGGCTACATCAGACACTGCCACCTCTACTCAGAGGCCGCTTAGGAACCTTGTGTCCTATTTAAAGCAAAAGCAGGCAGCCGGGGTGATCAGCCTCCCTGTGGGGGGCAACAAAGACAAGGAAAATACCGGGGTCCTTCATGCCTTCCCACCCTGTGAGTTCTCCCAGCAGTTCCTGGATTCCCCAGCCAAGGCACTGGCCAAATCTGAAGAAGATTACCTGGTCATGATCATTGTCCGTGGTGCGTCCTAAAGTCCATGTGTAACTTGTATTTACTACTTTGATATGGTTCCTGTTTTGTGATGTGTAATGGGATACAGCATCAGATGAAATTTTCTTTTTAATTAGCTGTTTAGTTGTAGCTTTTTCTTTTTTATATTTTTATAAATCTTTTAAAATAGAAGCCAGGAGAGTTTAGCTATTATTTTAAGTGAAAGGGATGCTCTGAAGGTAGCAGGCAGATGGATTTGCTTTAATTAGAAGTTCCCACCCTTATGAGTAACTTTTTTCCTCTTTTTCTTGAGTTTTTTTTTTTTTAAACAACCTTGAACTTTAAAAAATCCTCAAAGTTACAAACCAAAATTTTGAAAAGTCAGAATTTGGAGAAGAGTTCACTACTGTGTAAAGATTGTAATATCCACCTAAAAAATGGCTTGACTGGTGTATAGGTGAATAATTCCTTTACCAGAAATGTTAGTTATGTGACTGAAATTTGATCAGGGATCTCAAAAATGTATGCAGGTAAATTGTTTAGCAGTGTAATTATTTTAATCAGGTGTTTGACTATTTCTCTTAAAATAGTTTATTCCCAGAGAGTCTGCTTGAACATGCATTTTTTTATCATTAGTTCTTGAGTTTTGTATCCCGTATATGCACTTTTGGTTTGTAGCTGTAACTGTTAAGTAAAAATTGAAGACTATGTTACAAACCATATATGTCTTATGCTTACACTAGTATGCAAGAAGTGAGTAGGTGCTTTTAAAATCAGAATTCTTTGGTCAGTTATTGGTGTGTGGTGGTTTTTTACTGACTTTGTTTCAGAATGGTTTAGCAGGTACAGTTCTAAAATGTGCATATTTCAAAACTAAGTGTTCTTCATCAAAGATGAGTTTTTGTATCCATTCAAATTTCTGGTTTCAATAATAGAAAGAAGAGTTGTCTGCAGGCTCATAGTCATCTTTTGTTTCAGTGGGCATTAAGCAGCCATATCTGGATTGCAGAAATTTTTAAAAGTCTTCATAAAATGCCTCTGATGTGCTCTTTAAAAATTTTGCTTGTTCTTTTTATATCTGAACAGTAGTGGTGACATTACAATATTGAAAATGTTTTGAATATCTTTGAAATTTGATGTTTAATATTTTTACTTCTGTCCAGCCACAGAGAAGTGAAGTGTCAGTGTAGGAAAACCCTTTCTTATTGTTTTATTTTCCCAAACACCCAGAATTAATACAAGCTCATTTAACCCACGCTTGCAATTTGTTTTTTCAAAGCTGAGGATGATAATGGACTTCTGGTTTTTCAACAAGGGCTTTTACTGCTTAACAGTAATGAATGATTTTTTTTCCCCACTTTTCTCCTCTTCCCCCACTACTAGTATGTCAGGTCATTAGTATGTTTTTCTCCCTTGGTGTAAATGCTGAAGACTTCAGCTAAGGCCCTTGTTATTTAATTATTTTAATTAGAAACTTTAGGATCTTCTGGATTATGGTCATATTTCTATTCTGTGAAAGTGACTCGGTCATATTTCTATTCTGTGAAAGTGACTTATTCAAAGCCTGGCAGAACCCAACTGTTTTCTTTCTGTTATCAAAGCTGGTAGTTTTGAAATAGCACCAATAATAACCCAGGGAAATGTCATGTAATTTTTATTATTCATTATAACAGGTGTCTAATGCATGTTAGCACGAAAGCCTCATCACTGCTGTGTCATCCCTTTTGGTTTTCATTATGCATTAATAATTTTTTTTAAGTTTGGAGGTTTCTTTTTTGTTTTTGTTTTTAAACAAAATACTAGCCATTTTGAGAGACGGAAAATACAAGGCTGTGAGCACAAGGGTCCTTGGTGTGCTCATAGGAAGAATACCTGAAATCCTCCAATTAAGACTGATGCTTTTTGCTTTCAAAAAGCAGTGGTTGGCATGGAATAAGACACCTGGTTCAGTAACAAATGCAAGTGTAGAGCCTGTGCATACTTGGGCTCAAAGTACAATTTGTGGCTAGATACATTTTTCCATCTTAAATCTCACTAACCATTAACTTTTGAATATCTTTTGATAAGAGGGCTGGGCAAGTGATTTTGCTCTTTTGGAGAGTGAAGTCCATGACATCAATTTACTGTAATGCAAAGTATGTGTTTTTTCCCTTTTTCTTTTTTTTAAGTTGGTATGACTATGACAGCTTACTGAAGAGTACAATGGTTTTTGCTCCATGTTTGTTAGAATCCTTATCTTACATTGCTGCTTTTGTTAGATCTGGGCAATTTGTGCTTCAGTGTTTTTGAAACAATGGCTTAATACCATTTCTAAATGTATGTATTATAAGAAATGAATGTTTAGTTTGGTGCTTACCTACAGGGTGCCATAGTCCAGATGAACTTGTTTGTGTTGCCCATTCTACTGTGCCAGGTTCATAGTATCTGTAAAGTATCTACTTAAACCTTCAGAATTTGAATGAAAGAAAAGTCTAAAGCTGGTTCCAGTTCTTATTAGCCAGAATTTCATAATCCCAATGTTGGATGTTCTTTGTAACACCCAATTTTTTCTATCTTTTTTTCTTTTAATTAATTTTAATGTAGTTGATTTTTCTGAAAGTCAGTTAAAATGAATGGAAAGAAAATTTCTTTAGTAGATCATTTAATGACTTATTAAGTATTACTGGTAAAAACATGAAGATAATTAAGACTTTTAGATCACAACTTCAAAGTTTATGGAAAATTAAGCAGTCACTCTGCACCTAGCCAATAATCGACCTAATTTTTTGGTCTTGTTGATTCTAATTGGGATTTCTATAAACAATTTTCCACGTGAAAATTTAAATTTCTGGTTTAAAATGTATACTTTGACTTTTAGCTTTAAGGATTACTTCTTAAATTGTTCCATCTTCTGGCTGGTAAAAGCTTTTGTCACATTTTGAAGGTAAAATAAAAACTGGCCCTTGTTGACTCAGATCATTTGAGGTATAGTAATAAGAGTCAGGTTTTTGGTTATTACTTTCAGATTCAGACATTGTTTAGGTTTATTTAAAAACTATTTCATGAGCAGGTTTTCACTGACAGTGCTTTTTAAAAATTTTGAAATCTACTTCTTTAGTCAGTGAAAATGCTCATTATACAGGTATAGTTTGAACCATGGTTTGGGTCAATATAGGAACCATTAACCAAAAGCTCTGTGGTAACAGAATTCGGAAATCCTCTTGAGAAGAGGGCCCTAATGACCTTTTATGTGAAAAAAAAGTATTGGAGATAATTACTGGACAGTTTTTCCTGTCTCTGCCACAGTGTTTGGTTTTGAGGTAGGAGTTAGGTATGAGAGCAACGAGATGAGGAGTGGAGCCGACCCTGTCCTAGTGGTTATAGTGATGTCCCTAAAGGGAGAAAATGATTTCAGGTAACCACAGTGGAATGTCAAGCTTAATGAAGAGCTTTATATGTATGATTTAAACAGAATTGAAAAGTAAGCATCCTGAAGTGTTCTTTGGCTGTTTAGCAATTATCTGTATGAGTGTTTTCTTAAAATAATGGCTGCTATCTTTGGTAACACAGATGAAGGTGGATTTTTAAATGGCTTTGTATCTTGACCCCTTTCTACAATAATGGAGTAGTCTGCGTTGCTCCATATACATTACAGAATGAAAATAGATGGGGTAAAATTTGACTAAATGTCACCTTTTTAAAGTTTCACTTTTTAAGTTATGTTTAGAATATATTGACAGGTTATACGTTGTGAAATTGCTTTTTTCTGAAATATTTTTTTACTCAGTTACGTGAGTCTAATGGATATTTCCAGCCCTATAATCCTTAATTGCAGTCTTTAAAAAAAAATCCACCCTATCGTTCTACTTGTTATTTGTCTATTCATACAGTAAATTCATTTCAAGGTTTGTGCCAGTGGGTATTATTGGTGCTTTTTGAAGTCGAGGTGGACTATCCAGGAAGGTCTTGTTAATGTTATGTTCATCTATAATGGCATAGGGAAAATATATATATATATTTTTAATACTGTAAACATTTGTACTGAATAACCTTTTTTTCCCCCCCTGCAAGCAAAGCTGGTGAACAGCGGATGAAGATATGGAATTCAAAGCTCTAATGGACCTTTTTGAAGACAAGTTGTGGCTTATGTGGAGTTTACATGGGCCTCTGATGGAAGAAAGCTAATCTGTTTAGTATTTGTGCATTTTACTAAAATGGCAGCTTAAAGTTGTGTATCTGCTATTGTGATGCCAATGCCGGTGTTTTAAGTGGAAAAAAAAATGACCTCTTTGCTTTGTGCTGTGTACACAAGATTTCTGGAAAAGTAAAGAAAAACCCTTTTTATGGCTCACACAGCTTAAAAGTAGCTGTCACTCAAACGTGCGCTCACAGTTGAGCTGCTTTTGTTTTATTCTAAATAAATTGTTTCTTTTGAGGAAAATGTTTTTCTGCCTGGAAGTGAATTGACGGCAAACCTTTGACCCCTTTGTTTGCAGCCGAGGGGGTACTTGCTGCTGCTCAGATCTTGTATGTCTTGAGCAAGAAGCAGGGAGACCATCAATTTCATTTTGACTATCACGGTGTGTCAATTCTGAAGGATCACTAGTGTTACTGTGACCCCCTTTGTTTGCAGTGAAGGGGATCATTTGCTTCTCGGTCCTCAACGTGATGAGGAAATGGTGCTGTTGGCTGGCACTCAAGAAGCCGGGGCAAGCACCCTAAGCCTCACCACAATGCACGAGTCGGGGGCTTTGCTGGTTTGAAGAGCCGGAGTTGCTGAAATTTAAGTTTTGATTTATTTTGTTCACCCATCACGTTTGGCCTTAGTTTCATTTTTAATTTGAAGAAAAGTTTGAAATTGCTTTATCTTGCACTTAACATTTGCACCAAATTGCCAAAAGAAGGAGAAATGCTCCGTTTGCTTTTTAAATGTTAATGATGATGTTAATAAAGCCTTTCCTGACACACTTGAGGAGCTCCTCCGTCTCCAGGGGCTTCTTACCAGAGTTATGCAGTGATGGGTTTTAGTTCTGAATGGATGAAGAGTTCCTGAGAGCTAGCGTTTGTAATTAGAACCGTTACTTGGTATCTGTGCCTTGTTTGACCTGTGGTTCCACATGCCTTGGATGTGCATGCACCGTGACGGTTTCATAGGTACGAACGCACACTCAGGCCCAGTCACTTCGGTTGGTAGTACAGATTGTGAGGAAAAAATGGAGGCATCCTTAAGGAGGAAAAATGTTTGCCTTTAGTTCCTGCATTATCCTGTACTGGGGCTCCTGAGCTTTGGAAGCCTGTCCCCGTACAGGAGAACAACTCCCCTGTTTGCAGCAGGAGACTTCGGTGCACGGTGACAACGCTGGAGTTCAAGAGGAAGCCAGCAATGCTGCACCATTGGCTTCAGACACCATTGTTGTTGTTTGCCAGTTTTAAACTTAACTAGTTGCAGACGAAGACCACCTTGAAATGCAGGCTTGTTGGGCTTGTTTTGAATTTTAACCTCGGATGGAAGAGCCCTAGTGCTGTCTGTCTCCATGCGGGATGATGATTGCTAGGCAACAGGTGATTATCATCAAAGGATGCCACGTTATACTCTGCAAGGTGGTGTTCCAGTGGCAAACAGCTGTATAAACTCTTGTAAAAAGGTAAGAGGGTTTTTTAGAGGTCAAAATGCATTATAATTAAGAGGGTGAGGGCTTTGAATGTTTTGGGTCTGTTTCTCTTGATGGAAGTCTTACAGCACTCTACTGCCATTACTGGCTTCCTTCTTCCCTCACCAAAGTGTGGTATTTACATAAATCCAGGCCAGAATTTTTGTTCTGCTTGATATTTTTACTTCTTAATTTAATGTTTGAAAAATGTTTTAATGTGGGAACCAAAGTTTTAAAATCTCAGTTACGAATTTGGGACCTGGTGGCCTTGATGTCTTTTAAGGTTTTGACATTTTCCATTAACTTTGGTCTTCTTCACCTTTAGTTGTGATTTAATGATGCAGAAGGACTTAACTTCTATAAAAATGTTGTTTACAAAAAAACACTAAATTATAACCTTCAAAGTTAAGAGTATTATGTAACAACAATGGAAGTATGCTGTCAGATTGGAAATGTTAGATATTTTAGCTAAAATGATTAGTTTTTTTTTCCTTGTCTCATAGAGATTATAAAATTAGGCAACCACAACTTTAGGGAAATTAATAGGCTGTGTTGAGAAAAGTGTGGGTTTTGTTGGTTCTTAACATTTTCCTTATCTATTTAGTGTTACCAGCCTTCTGATTCCATCTCTCCTCCACATTAATCAAGTGTGAGGCTTTGGCAGCTTATCACAAGCACAACTATTTTAGTATATAATACAACTTGGGTTTCCTTGCTTTGTTTTAAATGAGATCAAGATTTTTTAATAGGATTTTTCTTTTTTCGTCTCTTCCAGAAGATATTTAATGTCTGGTAACTATAATAGCTAACCTATAGTAGTTACTTTTTCCAGAGATTTGATTGAACTTGGATCGTTTAGCTGAATAACTTATGTAATCATTCTTTGATAATTGTAAAACGTAAAAAACGAAGTACAGTAGAGTTTTTCTCAGTGTGTCCTAAGAGTTTTAAAAACAAATCTGGTTGTGAGGTGGCTACTGTCTGAGGTTTTTCTAAATGAGCTGTCCCCTGCATTTCTTTAAATATGTTATACCTGTTGGAAATGTCAGTTTTCAGTGTATTTTCTTTTTCTTGCTAGTCCATACCATTAGCCTAATAAGTGATTTTTCCAATTAATCAGCAAATATTTTAAATCACTATGAAGATTTAGGAAGATAACATTATGCTTTCTACTTGTTTTTCTTTCTAAGGTTTCAGGCTTCATCTCTAATAAAAACGATAAAAAAAATGTTGCAGGCAGACAGGGCATTTGTTTATTTGTATATAAAGCCGTGTTCTACAAATGAAAAGGTACACAGCATGACTTTTTTTTTTTTTTTTTTAAGTAGGAGTCTCACTCTGTCGCCCGGGCTGGAGGGCAGTCACACACTCGTGACCACTGCAGCCTTAACCTGCTGGGATCAGGTGATCCTTCTGCCTCAGCCTTCTAAGTAGCTGGAATCACAGGCATGTGCCACCACGCCTGGCTAACTTTTTAAAAAAAATTTATTGTAGAGATGAGGTCTTGCCAAGTTGCCCAGGCTGGTCTTGAACCCCTGGACTTAGGCAATCCTCTCACCTCAGCCTCCCAAGGTGCTGGGATTATAGGCATGAGCCACCACACCTGTCAACAACTTTTTGAAATTACTTATGAAGTCATTTTATTTATTCCCAGCTGTATCGCAGAGGAACAACTAACTGGGCTGAGTGTTAGATCCAAAGTTCTGATTGTATAAATTGGAAACTGCCCTTTTGAAGTATTTATATGATTCCCGGTGTTCTCATATGATTGATTGATTTTGAGTTGGAGTCTCAATCTGTTGCCCAGGCTGGAGTGCATTGGCACGCTCGTGGCCACCACAGCCTCAACCAGCTGAGCTTAGGTGATTCTTCTGCCTCTGCCTTCCAAGTAGCTAGAACTACAGGCATGCACCTCCATGCCCAGCTAATTTTTTTTATTTATTGTCAGCTAATTTATTGATTTATACTAGGAAGAAGATTGGGTCAACAAAAATAGGGAATCCTGAGGGGCAAGCTACTTTTAATAGGGGGAACTGGAGATGGATGATCAATTGGGGCATGTTGATAACATTCATTTATTGAATACCTCCTTGAGGCTAAGTACTTAAGTCTCACCACAGACCAAAGTCTGACAGTTTAGTGATAGAGCCAGGGTTCTGACTGGCCCTTTGTCCCAGCTAGGACTATCTTGGTCATTGTGGTTTTATACTTATTTCTGGAAGCTAGGGATAGGATTAAAGCTGCAAACTTGAGAAAATGTCTGAGTAGTAGATTTCAAACTAGAGTGTATCAGCCTTGGCAGTACTTGGGAAGCATAAGGCCTTTGGCTCCACCATCAGGTATTGTCAAATTTGTTAGGAACAGCATGGCCCAGGGCTCTTTGTTCTTTTACAGGCCCCTGCAGGTAATTCTGATATATTCTGTGGTCAGTGGGCCACATGTTGAGCAACACTTGCCCATAGAGAGCAGAGTGCTGTGGTATAAAGCTGGGGTAGTGTCATATTTGAGGCCTGGGGAAGAGAAGGTGGTGATGGAGAAGAAGCTTAGGTAGGAGAGCAAGAATGATGTTGTCTCAAACTGAGAGGAGGCGCTTCTAGAAGATAACTTCAAAGCTGTTGCAGCAGACTAGGGGAACAAAACTGCACATATCTTGGAATTTATTACTTGAAATTGTCACTTAAGTAACAATTTTCTAGAAATATTATAAATGTTTCTCTGAGGAACTAATCTAGTTTGGTATTTAATTTTGGTTTAGCAATCTGTGAAGAAGGGCCACTGCTTAGTTTATGAAATGTTAAAGGAACCCCAGAAAAGTTTTGTGACTTGGCTGACAAAAACACACAACCAAGAACTGATTGGAATATCCTTGAGTTTTCAGACTGGGACATTCCTTGAGTTCTCACAAAATAATGTGACTGTAGTCAATCTTAAAATTGAAAGTGATTCTGGGATTGAGTGTGTATTTGTGTGTGCACATGAAAGTTGTTTCTATTAATGGACCATTATCTATGTTTACTACATCCTAAGTATGTTACTAGTTAGATTGAGACATAAAGGAATTATGGGTAAAGTTGAGAAGTTGAGTGTATCTTTGCCTTGTAAATGAGAGATTTCCTTTTTTTTTTTAATTGGAGTCTCTGTTGCTCAGGCTGGAGTGTAGTGGCACACTCACGGACGGCCACAGCCACCGCAGCCTCAACCTACTGGTCTCAGGCAGTCTTTCCATCTCAGTGGAGATGAGGTCTCGCCAAGTTCCCTGGGCTGGTCTTGAATTCCTGGGCTCAGGCGATCCTCTCACCTCTGCCTCCTAAAGTCCTGTAATTACAGGCGTGAGCCACCATGCCCAGTGAGATTTTCTGTTTTGAATTATAGTATCTCTGTACAACATTTGTGTTTGATAAATGTAGCTAATTAATTATTCAGATATTTGAGTATATGTTATATACCAGACATTATTCTAGATCCTGGAAGTATATAGTGAAAAAAACAGACACCTTTTTCTTTGAGTTTATATGCTGATGGAAGAAGGGAGGTAGTAAACTGTAAGTTAGGGCCTTGTGGCCCTGTCAAAGAGTTTGGTTTGTATTCTGAATGTTGATGGCTATGGGAGGCAATTGGAGGTTTTTTGGGTTTTTTTGGTTTTTTTTTTTTTGAGTTGGAGTCTCACTCTGTCGCCCAGACTGGAGTGCAGTGGCACACTCCCGGCCACCACAACCTCGACCTGCTGGGCTCCGGAGATTGTTCCGCCTCAGCCTTCCAAGTAGCTGGAACTACAGGTGCACGCTACCACACCC